AGTAGTCAATCAGTTGTTTTAATTGTCATATTTGAATTCAGCACATCAAAATACATAATAAATAGCACATTTTATCTCTGAAGCAGACGACGTCTCAAAAATTGTAGACTAGTGATATCATTAGGTGCGAAGTGGAAAGTATCAGTGATTATATTTCTTTGTATTACTACTGGTCACCAAGCCCAAGCCAAGCGAACATCAGTTAAGTGAAACATACTCAAAGAATTGATGGTGTTCTACGACGATAAGAAAATAATTTGGAAAGGCACCAAGGGGGAAAAATGCAATTTTGTAGCTGGTTGAGAGGAGAGGTGTTAAGGATTTGTTCCCATTGTGGCTGAGTTTGCTGGATTTCTTCTTTATTGCTCAAAAGATGATCAAGCCAACAACTCTTCTGCAACCAGAAAGCCAAAATAGATCGTTTTGACGCAGGGACTGTCTTTTGTGTGTGCAGTCACCAGCACAATGCAGCCCCCATGAGACCCGGAGATGCCACCACAATAAAAGAAATAACAATAGAAAAACTGGTCAGCTATTATTCCCCTAATATTTCTCTGATATTCCATCCAGCTCCTGCAGTCTTTCCTTCACTCCTGCAAAACTCCCACTGATTTCAAGGTGGAAGGACAGAGGACTCTAGGATTTGCCTCTGCTGGCTCAGAAGAAAGGAGCTAGCGGGATCAGAGAAAAAAATCAATAGTCCAGCACCTAACTGCTCTGTTGGATCCAGCCCCCAGAGCCTGTTCCACACGAGCTCCGCGCAGAGTTCTGACACGTGTCAGAGCAGCTCTTTGCAGACGCAGAACGTCAGCCTGCCTGGGACAGCTACCTTCCGCCTGCGGGAGTTACAGGTGGCGTTGTTGGACTGGGAACGTTATTTCCCTTTACCCACCAGTTTTCCTTGGAGGAGAACTAAAGCAGCCCTTTGCCCCTCACAGAGGCACATGGGCAACTTCTGGATCCCCCTCCCCTGATGTTTAGGCACGAAGGAACAGACCAGGGTTCTGGGGGCAGCCAGGAGGCGAGCCTTAGGTTTCCATAGACACCGTTAATTGTATTTCAGGTATTTGTCTCCAGGGAAACCAGAGCCTGGCTCAGATCTATATATTTTTCCCCCGTATGCCGAGCACACAGAGCGCTGGGCTCCAAGGAGGGAGGGGACAGATAAATAAATAAATAAAAACTGCCAAGAAGTTTACTCTCTCCTCCCCCGGTCCCTTTCAAGACACCGCCGCGATGCTCTCCAGCGAGAGAGGCAGCAGGCGGTGAGCGGGGCTCGGAAAACGCTCCGGCGCCCGGTGAGAAGCCGAGCAGCAGAAGAGCGAGGGCGCGAAGCGGAGCGGACAACTCCGGAGCAACTTGGGCTGCGGCTCACCCCGCGAACTAAGCGAGACTCCGCGGCGCGTCGCACATCAGGGCAGCGGTTGGAGCTGAGAGCGCCCGGAGGATGCCAGCGAGCAAGGCGCCCCACGCTACCCCCGGCCGGAGTGTCCCTCGCTGAACAGCTGTGTCTGGGGAGGAGCCGGGGTCGCCGCGGCGATGAACAGCTCGCTGGCCCCGCTCAACGCGTCCGGCGGCGAGGCCGGCTGGCAGCCCGAGTCCGTGCTCATCCCGCTGGTGTACGCGCTCATCTTCCTGCTGGGCACGGTGGGCAACTCGCTGGTGCTGGCCGTGCTGCTGCGGAACGGGCAGGTGAATAACACCACGAACCTCTTCATCCTCAACTTGGGCGTGGCCGACCTGTGCTTCATCGTCTGCTGCGTGCCCTTCCAAGCCACCATCTACACCCTGGAGGGCTGGGTCTTCGGGCCCTTCCTGTGCAAAGCCGTGCACTTCTTCATCTACCTGACCATGTACGCCAGCAGCTTCACCCTCGCCACCGTCTCCCTGGACAGGTAGGAAAGCGGAGAGGCCAGGGCAGCAGGGGGGCTGCCCTCCTTTCAGCCCCTCCTTGGCAAATAACTCAGCAACTTTCCTTGGTTACTTTCCAACCTGGCCAGCCAGCCAGAACCTCTCCCTCCCTGCCCATAAGTTACCAGGGAGAGCTGGAGGGCCAGGAACTCTGGAGCAGGAGGGAACTAGCCGCTGCAGCAGCTGCACTGGAAGGGCTAGCAGAGGGGTGCAGTGTGGGGGCAGGAGGTGAGCTCCCACCCTGGGGCTCGCACCACTTCTTGCAGGGTGGTGCCTTCCTGAAAGTTGCAGATCCCCAGCTGTCGAAGGCAATGTGCAAGCTGGGGTCTTCGCATGGGTGGTGGAAAGAGGCAGTTTAGAGGAAATGGGACTGTGCTCTGCAGAGAGAGGAGGGGAGGTGGGATTAGGCACCCTTAGACAGCAGAGCTGGGCATGCTAAATCACCTGGGACCAGTTCCTGGCCCAAGCCCAGCTCAGAGTAGATGAATTCACTAGGGGCATGGGGCGGAGGACCCCAAGGCATTCCCATGGCTGCAGGAGAGGGACAGATGAAACCAGCAGCACTTTGCTTTGGAGTGCTCAGCCTGGCTGGCAGAGTTCAGCATGACCACCCAAATCGTGGTCCATGTGCAGGGCCAGAGTCTCTTCTCACGCACCCCGGAGGAAATCCGGAGTGGGTCCATTGACAGGAGTGGCGCTACATCAGTGTGAGTGAGGGGAGAAGCACGACTGCTTTCCCTTGACTCAGCTCCCCAGAAGGGCCAGGAGGTTTTTCAGTGAAAGAGAAGGAGGGACATCAATGGAAAATGGTGTGGTTTAAACAGAGTTCAGTTAGGCCCAGTCTACACTTAAAGATTATATGGACCTAGCTAGGTCCCTCAGGGCTGTGAAAAAATGTATGCCCTAGATTGGCCTAGCCCCCTCGGTGGAGGCAGATAGAATTTTTCCATTGACCTAGCTACTGCCTCTGGCAGAGACAGATTAACTACATCTCTGGAAAAACACCTGCTGTTGATGTAGGAAGCATCTACACTACAGCACTATGGTGGCCCAACTGCAGTGCTGCTGTAGTGTAGACATGGCCTAAAATCCTTTTTCAAGAGTGGAGAGATTAGTTACTGGACTAAACAGCACCAGTGTGAACTCAGTTTTACATCAGCCCATCGTGTCTATGGAGATGTCTCCATTCCAGACGCTACAGTGACACAGCCACGCCACTGTAGTGTAGACACTTCCTACAGTGAGAGAAGGAGTTTTTCTCTGGCTGTAGTTAATCCACTCCCTGAGAGGCAGTAGCTAGTCGATGGAAGAATTCTAGTGCTGTCTACACTGGGGCTTAGGTCAGTTTACTAATGTCTCTCAGAGGTGTGAGTTTTTCACACCCCTTAGAGATGTAGCAAGGTTGACCTACATTTTAGGTGCCAACCAGGCTTGTGTTGTGGGTTTGTACCAATGTGAATATATAGGCTTCGTCTCCACTGCCAGAGTTGGATTTTTACCTCAGGATAATGAAGGTGCATTAGCCAGCCTGCTGTAAAATCCTAGTGAAGACAAGGCACCTGTAGATTTTCCTGCGAGGGAAAGTAGGTGAGGTCAGCTATGGTCAGGGAGTGAGCTACCGGTGCCTTATTTCCACTAAGATTTTACAGCAGGATAGTGAACACTGCCCCCCACCACCATTTTTTGCACAGACATAGCCTTTAACTTGACCTGCTCACCCACGTGAAAACTACAACTACCTTGTCTTCTCTCGGATTTTAACTCAACGTACAAACACACCTTTTGTTTTTGCAGTGAAAACATACCTGTGACATCAAGTCACACTAGTGTGATTTTCTTTGAGGGCTACAGAGAGATACAGCGATGGATAAATGGGTGAAGCATGCAGGTCAAAATACATGAAAACCAAAGGGCAATATTAGCATGAAACAGTTCTCTCTCCCCTACAGAAGCTACAGTGGAGACATCCCCATCCCCAAGGAAAGCAGGGCATGAAAAGAGCAAGCTTGCTTATGTACAGTGAGTGGTAGCTTGATAAATAAGGGAGCGTGTTCATTAAACTGAAGAATTTAAATGAAGGTTTCGGAAGTGTACACTTCCTGAGTCTCCTGGTGGCATTGCCAGGGCTGCTTTTTAAGAGCAGACAAGAGAACGCTGGTGTAAAGCTAACAGCAGAGAAACTCCTGAGGGTCAGAGCGTGAATCCCTTATGCCTACCAATGAGCATTTACTTACCTCACAACAAGGTTACTTGTGCATGTAACTGCTCACTAGTGTAAGGAATGGGTTCACAATCTGGCCCTAAATGATCAGAAAGTTTTCAGCGTCTAGAATTGCTAAAGGACAACAAAGTTGCTGGGAGACGTATGGGAACAACAGGAGGCTGGGAAAAGGATTTCAAAAGAAATGGGCAGCTAGATTCTGATCTCATGTACACCGACATACATGTGGAGAAAAGTTATTTAGTTCACTGGAGCCAGTCTAGATTTATACTGATGTAAGTGAGATCAAAATCTGCCCCGGATTGTTTTAACTCAAGGCTTTGGGAGATAAAGTGGACAGGTTATCAAAACCAGAGAGAGAAACAAGCTACGACGGTCTGTTATCTTGGCATAGAGGCTTAGAAATAGATGTCATAATATAAGCAGCAGCCCCTAGCTCATTCAAGGAATTACAGAAATCACACCTGCTTTGTAAATAGCATCTGATAAATAGCAAAGTAGGTAAATCTTTTAAAAAAGAGTTATTATAGTTAAACATTTCCACTCACCAACACCTTTTATTTGCATTACTTGAAAGAACATTTCTCTCTCACATACATTATTGAATATTATTATTATTATTATTAATTATTATTAAAACACAGGGTGACGATTTTAGGCTGGCCTGGGGGCACCTGACAATAAAATGAATGCTAGCTTTCAATTAAAACTGTCATGTCCAACAGCGAGGTTTGGAACTGGAATTGTCCCTAATGAAGGCAGCCTGCAGCGTTTGACATTTGTAATTGTGATTTCCTCCTGCTGATCTCTACCACCAATTCAGCATTCAAGAGGCTGAGAAGTAATTAATTTGCAGCGAGAAAGGTAACTGTGGCTCTTGAAGCTTTTCTATTAGAATATTTTCTATTTAAAGTCAAAAGTACTCGGCGTTCAGGGTACTTCAAACCTGCAAGATCTTTGGATTTTAAGAGCCAACTAGAAAGATGCCAAAAGCCCTTTTTGCAAACTCTTGGCAGGCCCCTATAACAGAAGCTAGACAGAAAGTGGTCTTTTCTTTGCCTTTCACAAAAGTCTATTTTATTTTTTATGTCTTATTTGTTTTGCAATAAATAATTGCTTTTAAGGATATGCAGCAGCCACTTGTCACCAAAGGAGCCATAGAAGGGTATGTATATTTCGGCTTGGCAGAATTCAGTTTTTATTTTTGTAGAATTTTGACATTATACAAAATGTTTCTTTTTGAGCATTTTTCTTTTTAAGAATTTTTTCTGTTTCTTTTTAAGCATTTTTTCTATTTTTAATCGATTTAAATTTTCACAGTTGTGGGGAATCAGACGGATGGCAGACAATTATTTAGTGACAGACTTTGAGATGCAAAATATAAAAGCTTTGTAACCCAAATTGTCAACATTACACGTGAATATGGAGAAAGTAAATAGCCTTACGTCAAACCCTAATATGTTCTCAAGCAGCATTTTTCTTACTTTGCCTATCTGTATATTTTGATTATTATCAATGGAAGTATTTTTTCATCAGTTTGAGTATGTACAGTGGTGAAATCAATGTTTGCTGACATTTACGGATAAAAAGCTAATCCTTCCAAGCCTATGTATAATTAAAGCAGGTGAAGGGCCTGATTCTCCTCCCTCAACGAGGTAAAATCAGGAGTAACTCGATTGATACCGGAGGAGTTACACCTGTCTAAAACTACTGAGAACTATGTGAAAAGAGAACTGAGGCTACAGGAGTTTGATGTATAATCGGGAGATTACTACACTATCATTTAAATCTTCCTACTGTGTGATCATTGTGTTCCTGTTGTTTCTGATTATAGTTTTCAGTGGGAAAAACAGTGGGAGCTGTGAATGAGATTGAAGGAAACTAACATTCTCTTGTTTGCTATGTCTCAGTAATCTCATCTTTCAAGACATTTTCAATGTGCCTTTCTTTACAGTATTTCGGTGCCAGGCTTCTGATACAATAATCAAGTCAGTCCAAGACTAAGGATTCCAAAAATGAGGTTGGCATAAAATACTTTCAGAGTAGTACAAAATGGATCAAAGCCTTTCTTTCCCTTTTCTGAGGCACCTTTCACATGTCAAATCCTGCCACTTGATATATTTCAGTTCCAGTCTTGCATTTGACGCAAGCTAGTTAGATTCAACACTCACTGTTAGTAATGTACTAAACGATTCAATCATTCTCATTTGGGAATGGAAGGTGCCCAGAACCTCACAGGAGGCACTCAGCTCTTTGCAGGATCAGACACAAAATGTAAGGGGTGAAATGGTATGAATGGCAACAATTCTCTAGCAGAATTTTGCAAGCCAAAAAAATCTATGAATTTCTTGCCATCCGTAGTGTTCTCTTCTCACCACAAGAGCATCAATATTATGTTGCAGTGACTCAACCTTTTGGATGACACACGCAGGTCTGAGATACACCTAAAATGTAGGTTGGCCTAGCTTTGTCGCCCGAGAGATGTAGGTTTGCCGACCTAAGCCCTGGTATAGACACCGCTAGGTCAATGGAAGAATTCATCTGTTGACCCGGCTGTCACCTCTCAAGCAGGTGGATTTACTACTGTGATGGAAAACCCCTCCTGTTGCTGTAGCAAGTGTCTGCATTCCAGTGGCACCTCTGTTGCTGTAGTGCTTGTAGTATAGACATACACTTCAAGCACTTAGCATTTCAATGGTCATCATTGCAATAGCTGGATGGGATGAATTCTACAACCGCAAAGCAGAGGCTAGAGGGTAGTTTGCACTTTTCTGGGTGTGCAGGCTTCTGTCAGTTGGTTTCAGTGGACATCAGTTTAAATAGGGGAGGCTTGAAAAACAGAGCTCTGAAAACTTAAATTTCATGACTCTCCTCACCTCCCCCTCCTCCATAAAGGAAAGGTTAAGGGGTAGGCAACCTATGGCACGCATGCCGAAAGCGGCACGCGAGCTGATTTTCAGCGGCACTCACACTGCCCGGGTCCTGGCCACCGGTCCGGGGGGCTCTGCATTTTAATTTAATTTTAAATGAAGCTTCTTAAACATTTTACAAACCTTATTTACTTTACATACAACAATAGCTTAATTATATATTAAAGACTTATAGAATGAGACCTTCTAAAAATGTTAAAATGTGTTACTGGCACACGAAACCTTAAATTAGAGGGAATAAATGAAGACTCGGCACACCACTTCTGAAAGGTTGCCGACCCCTGGGTTAGATCCTGACGTATGCAACTCCGGTTGCCAGTGAGAATCCAAAGGCTGCAGAATTGGGGGATTTTCCATGCCAGTAGGGTTTGGGCTTGACCCTGCAATCAGAAAAGAACCCTTACTCCATCAAACAGTCCCACTGGCTTCAGGAAAAAGGTCTGTGGAGTTGGGACTTTGATGGCTCAGTTCCTCTTTAACTAGACGCCCTCTAGCATCTTTCTCATGTTTTAGCTGGAGACTGTTTACTAGGCAATAACCATCAAGAGGAATTCACTAGTGGGTGTAGGAGGATGCTAAAAGCATGTTTAAAAAGCTTGCTGTGAATTACATGTGCAGTTTAAAATTCATGCTGCTCAGGATTAGGGTAAAGCTATATGCAAACAACTCTAACCAGTAAGATCTCAGTCCTGCAATGTGCTTAGTACCCTGACCTCCCATTCACCAGCTACTGCTGGCTGAATACCAATAGCTATTTGCACATCCTCCACAGAACATTGTACATAAAAATCCTAACTGATGTCTTTGTGCTCCTGGTAAGACTGAATATACTTTGGGAGGTTTTTGATGGGCTTTGCAATGCAAGTCTATTAATTTATACTAATTTATGGTTACAGTTAATAACAATGAAAAAAACCCTTTAAAATGGTACATCAACCACATATAATGACCGCCCAATAACCCCCCCAGGGAACAGAGCTGAAAGTCTGAGCCATTATTACTGTTTGAGCTGAAGGACTCTGCATGAGAGCTAGGAGCTGCAGCAAACTAACATCCTCTGTGGATTGGGCCCGAGTGGAGATGTGTAACCTACAGGACAGCTGATTACGCGTCATCATCTTGGCATTTCACAAGCTTGTTTTGAAATGGGAGCTGCAGTGTGGGAGGTGGCCAAGGGTCGGCAGCATGCCCTGTTTCATGAGAAAATAATAGGAACTATGCATCTTTATTAGACGAAGGTCCTGCTCCTATTAAAGTCACTGGCAAAAACTCTCAGTGGCTTCAGTGGGAATGAAGTTTATAGTGCTGAAGGAAAAACCTTAGCCCTGTGTCACTCCAGTTTTAAGCCAGTGTAACTCCTCTGAAGTCAGTTACACCAGCATAGATTGCAGTAATGAAATGTGAATTCAGGCCCTTGTTCCCTCTCTGCCTGATGGAGAAAGCAAAATTCTTCTCCTTGAAAAAGTGATGGGTCATGCTCTTTCCCTGAGGACAGATCTGTTGGTAACCAGGACCTTAGTGCCAGGTGCAGAAATCAGAGAGCTGACTGTTTGTGGCAAATAAAATGATTCTCCAGCCCATACACCGGTGCACCATCAACCATTGTTTCAGAGCCGATTCCCTAGGGAGACTCTCTGACGAACGTGGAGCTGACGAGATATAAATATTTTACATCTCTTAAAGAACCACATGGTCAAAAGACCAGAGCAACACGTGCCTGCAAACAGCAGCAGGTGCATGTGCATAAAACAGGTCACTGCATTCACAAATACAAATGTGCATGTTTGCAGCTGCATTTTCAAGGGAGCACCAGTCACTGAAAGCATGGCCCTTTGAGTTTGCTGCTTTTACTATGTAATTGTCATATACAGAGATGGGCAAAACCATAAGTTCAAATGTAAGTCCCTTTGGGTTTTGTGGATGATGGCATTTCAGAAACTGAAATCCCTCCAACCCTATGGCTTTGGTTCCAGTTGGATCCCAAACTGAGGAAGCTTATTTTCTAGTTCTGTTCTGGATGTAACCAGCATATCCATGAGAATAAGCTTAGATATCTATCCAAGGTGACCGAGCTGTTGAGTGAGTGAGCTCGCAAGATTTTGACATTTTGGAAACATCAGCTTCCAAGATGTAGGTGCCATTTAATCCAAACCAGATTCCTAGCCCTAATTCAACCTTAAACTCAGATCACACCCTAAAAATGATTTGGATCTGAGCTAAGCTGCCATGGCCCATATATTGTTGTTATATAAAATGCAAAAGACATGGTGAAAATCAGTGACAAAGAAAAGTTTGAGTTACCATCTCCTCTACCTGGTCAGGCAAGTTGTCTATATGGAGATTTGACACCAGGCCAGGTGTGACTCTACAGCATCCTAGCTAGCTATGCACTAATTGTCTGTTTGGACCCAGCTACCTCGCACTAAAAGTTTGAGATGCAAGATGTCACAGCACACCATGGAGCTTTTAGTGCGTGATAACAGGGTCCGTGTGGACAGTTAGCGCGTGGCAGGCTAGTGCGCTGTAGATTCACACCCTGCAAGTGTCGTGCACAAAGGTTCTGTGGAGACAAGTCCTTGGAAATGGGATAATTAGTTGAACAAGAAATTACATTAGAAGTGCAAAGTTTTTCATTTTAACTCTTTTTCTCCTTGTGTTCTCCCCACATAGCCAGCCTGATGACGTTTTCTCTGTTTTAAATAGAACTGTCGTTTTGTTTTGTTCTCTCCCTTGCAGGTATTTGGCCATTAGATACCCTTTGCATTCTAGAGAACTCAGAACCCCCAGGAACGCGCTCACAGCCATTTGCCTCATCTGGGGTCTTTCCTTTATTTTCTCTGGCCCATACCTCAGTTACTACCAGGAGTTCCAGATGGCCAACCTGACCGTCTGCCATCCCATCTGGAAGATCCCCCAACGCAAGATCATGGACATCTGCACCTTCATCTTCAGCTATGTCATCCCAGTGCTGATCCTTAGCCTCACCTACATGAGGACTATCCGTTACCTCTGGACTTCCGTCGACCCCATTGAAGACATGTCCGAATCCAAAAAAGCCAAGCGCAAGGTCACCAGGATGATCATCATTGTAGCTGTCCTCTTCTGTCTCTGCTGGTTGCCCCATCACCTGATCATCTTGTGTGTCTGGTTCGGCTATTTTCCTCTCAACCACGCCACCTACGTGCTCAGGATCCTCTCACACCTGATCTCGTACTCCAACTCCTGCGTCAACCCCATCGTTTATGCCCTGGTCTCCAAGCATTTCCGCAAGGGCTTCAAGAAGATCTTCAACTGCCTCTTGCACAAGAAAGTGGCCAATAAGGTACATGTGGCACAGGTGACCAACACTGTCAGCACCCTGGAGGCGGATCTGACTGAAGTGACGCACATCAGCGAGCCCCCTCCTGCCAGGTCCTTCACCAGCTGCCAGATCCCAGGCCAGCCATGGGGGGAGACGGAGCAGCTAGGGCGCCAGCAGAAAGTAGCCAACTCCTTCATCACCTTCAATGTCACCTAGTGGAACTTCTTTCCTATTGGCTTTGAAAAAAAAAAATCTTCTGACTCTAGGGCCGTGTCGCGTGGATCTGGGTAGGACTGAACGTTGGCTTTAATGTACGGCTCACAAGAATCTCAGCTTTTAAAATGCTGCTGCTTTCTAGCCTCTCAGCCACCGCGTGAATGATTAAGACCGCTATGTGGAATGTGGTTTCATTGCCCTCCTCTTGGCATCATCGCATAGCTGCAACGATCAAAACCTACCTTCCCCAAACCAATTCCTACACGTGCTAGCATGTGGCCCCCCACTTCGTTAAAATGGTCAGTCAGTGAGCATGTGGGGAGGTGCTAGAGGGGGTTAGATTGGAAACAAATTATTTTATTTCCTTTGTGGAAGAATTTTGCATCTTTGAAAGTCTTACAGAGCCACTTGGCTGCAAGAGAATGGCTTGTGGGAGCCATTTATAGCTCCCCTCACTAGCCTCGGCCCTAGAACATTCTCTCCAGATTGCGCTGCACCTCTAAAGCGGAGATGCTGCTTCGGTGCACATGGCCAACTGGGGAAGCTCGTTGCTGCGCTGGTAAAAGTCATTCCATTATAACAGCCAAAAAAGGGGAATGGCTTGCTGAACGACCCTTCTGCTGTCGCACGGGAGTCTCCAAAAGGGGTGTGCGGGGGACAGGTTTCAGAGGGTTTGTATATAAAGGCGCAGGAAGGAAGCTCAGTTCTCACAGGTTCTTCTTCTGTGACCTCACCTTTTTGCATTTAATGACAGGAGTCTGTTGCCATGGAAATGACAGTGATGTCACAAATGCAGCATTATGAGCCTGGTTCTTCTGTGCCACGCCCCTGGTGTGGTCACTTGCACCAGTGCAAAGTGCATGTAAATGGCAGCCAGCCTGATGGGTGTAAATAGCAACGCAAGGTGTGGGTGGAGAAGTCGTCACCGTGGGATTGACAAGGAGGAGAACATGTGCAGAAGGACAAGCGGGTTGAAACACAAAGTGCTCTAGTCTCCTCCTGCATGCAGAAAGGGGCCAGTCCAGTTGGAACCTGGGCAGGGGCACAGAAGGGGAGATATGCGCTAGCATAACAAACAAGAATTTGACCAACTCCCTTTGGCATCATGTTGAGTCTCCAGGTTCTTCAGACCCAACCGAACGGCTATACTCACCTTTGGAAGGCCAGATTCTTTGGAGTGACTCCACTGAAACCAGTGAAGTTCCTTGGCTGAAAAGAAGAGCAGAATCCGGCTCATTATGCCCCCACTCCCTGAATGTTTAAATGCCTGTCACTTGCTTTGCACATCTGCCCTGACTACCACACACACTCATATTACACCACATCGGTTGTTACATCACCATTAATCTCACTGCAGATTCCACGGAAGTCATGCTCCCTGACTCCAGGCTGCATTTAGCTGAATTAGGCTCGGTGTCCGGGAAGACCCTTTGAACCTCATGTGACCCCTGTGTAAGTGTCTAGTTGCTACTGCTGAGTACTTGAGCAGGGTCACTGGACCCATTTTTATAGCGGGGGCCCTGAAAGTCACTGAACCAAACTGCAAACCCCAGGGAAGCCAGGCATTGGGTTGCTATTAGAGCTTCAAGCCAGGGGATGCTGCTTCATCCTACTTCCCTTCCAGCACCCTTGGACACGAGTCAGGCTCCAAATTGAGAAGTTTCTTTCCCTCACCTTCAAGGTCTTTCATGGCTCTGCCCCTCCCCCTTAGTTCACTCATCGCCCTTCCTGATGACAGCCTCAGTGAGCCACTTGTCAGCTTCTCACACAAACATCTTCTCACTGCCCCTCCCCTGGAATTCCTGCCCTAAACTGATCTGAAAGCCCTCCCCTGCGACGCCCTAACCCTCCTCCTCCAAATCCCTCCTCTGCCAGAATCAACCAGCCAGTCTAGGCTGAGGCATAGTTAAGAAAAGTTGGCATTTTATCTATCATAATACAAACGTACAGTTACCAATGTATATTACAATGCTCTGTATTTGATTATATTGCATACATCACTGTGTTATTAGCTTGTAAGATCACGGGGGTCAGAGAACAGGTCTTCATATGTATATGCATGGAGTGAAGCACAATGGGGCCCTGATCCTGACCAGAGCTTTCAGGTGCCATTACAATACAAATGTTAAATAGTATTAAGAAGGTGGACGTTTCCAGCATATCCCTGTGGCTTGGGCCACTTTGGATATGTGGCTAGCCCAGTCAACATGGTTCCCATGCTTATCGCTGACTGCCTAAGTTCTAGCCGTGGGTCGCCCTTTTTCCACAGAATGACAAAGCCAGCCAGGGTTTTGAAGATCATTGCCATATACATCAGAGGTGGATCTGAAACAATACTCTACGTCCAAACACCCCTGATAACGTTGGCATGTCTGGACCAGGATTGAAATCTTGGGGTGTGAGTTTAGTCTTCCTGGCAGGTGACAGCATGAACACCTGCAAAGGAAGGTGGATCAGGGAAACTGATTTTTAGCAGCATGGGTTAGCCAGGTGTTGTTACTGAGGGGACAATCTGCCACTGATGAGATTAGCTGTGCTAACCATATGTGGGAGCATGGGGACTTTTATGTCATATAAGTGGAGCTGTGATTCTCACCTAATGTATATCTGTACTTATCACCTTGGTCTGTTTCATATGCTGTGTCTACATTAGCACCTTTAATTGCAATGTGTTTCAAAGTGCTTTGCAGAATGTCCAGAGAGATCACTTTATATGTACCCATTGAAATGGAGCCACCTCTTGGGTGGAACACAGCAGCAGCCCTACACAAGACATCTTAGGAGGCAAAGGAAGAATTACATAGCCAGTTGAACTTAATGGGCATATAAATCACCTATCTTGACCAAGACACCTGGACTGATGCCAAAAAGAGCCATGGGATCTTAATTGCCACAGACAATCAGGACATCAGCTTGACATCTGATCCAAGAGAAGGCACCTTCAGTAGCTCCCCAGCTTGGGGCATCGGCTCAGTACCGGCTCAGCTAGAAGAGCGCCATCTACTGCATCACCATTCTTCTGCAGCATCTAAGGCCTTGTCTACACTACGAGAGTAGTTCGATTTTACTTGCATCGAATTTTTGTAATCGATATTGCAAAGTCGAACGTGTGTGTCCACACTAAGGACAGTAATTCGACTTTGTGCGTCCACACTAACGGTGATAGCGTCGACATTCGAAGCGGTGCACTGTGGTCAGCTATCCCATAGCTCCCGCAGGTCCCGCGGCTCATAGGGATTCTGGGTGTAGCCGGCAATGCCTTCTGGGTAACAAAATGAGTCGAGGGTGCTTTTGGGAAACT